AAGCTAATTTTGTTTTTTTGGTCCTCTTTCTTTTCAAAGAGTCAAAGACGCTTTATTTCCTAGTCCTTTTGCTCTTGTTTGCCAATTTATATTGCCCGATCATCTTCTTTGTTTAAAGATATGCCATTTTGATAAGATATCTTACACCTGAATAGTCTTAACTTTCTTGGAATGTTTGAATAAATCGGTACAGACAGAAATGACGACTGCTGAAAGAGAACTTGATCAAAATACGAACTTTGATTGGAATCGTATACAAGAGAGTGGAAAAGAATTGGTACCAGTTTTTGGACCTGGATATACCGGACTTGTCAATCTTGGTAACAGGTACACTGTAAAATTACAAGCTCATCAGGATTTCATTTCCTTTGTTGATGCCTTATGCCCATTTCATTTCTTTTGCTAGTTGCTACTTGGCAGCTACGATGCAGATTCTTTTCTCTACCCATTCGTTTATTTCAAGGTAACTATATGTAAATATTTGCAAGTAGATGGCATTGCCCATGTTTCTTTCTTTTTTTTTTTTTTTAACTAAATACAAAGCAAAGCTAGTACTCTCAGAATCCACTGTATTAATTTCTGGTACTGAAATTGTTGCAGATACTTTTCACATCAGAGCTTAAAGTTAGCATTTGAGATGGCTCCTGCTGATCCAACTTTGGACCTTAATATGCAATTGTGAGTTTCTACCAGAACAATTGCTACTATGTTTTATACTGTGGAGTTTCTGCTATCATGCGACTGAACTTTCGATGTTGTAAAGATAAACAGGTTTTAACATTATATTTGTGCATGCTCTGTCTGCATGAATGATACATTCTCGAGTTTTGTTATATATCCGCTTGGTGTTAATATACTCTTCAATTTCTTCTAAATTTGATTTCCATGGGGACTATTGCATGGCGGGTATGCATATTCAATTCCTAAACTTTTGGTGGCAGGACAAAACTTGGACATGGTTTACTATCTGGGAAGTACTCTATTCCTGTAACAGAGGTATGACTATTTTATGAGAAAATTATTTTTATTTCATATATGTATATTATTTAAACCACCTCGTTTGGCCTCAGTACATTGATTTTCCCATTCCTATGATTACAGAAGGATGCTGCAACTGGAGATGCTGTAAGATTCTTATCCCATATGTGTTAATAAATTTCTTATAGATATTGGCTTTTGCATAAATATACAGACGCGAAGATGGCACATATTGTTTTGCATTGCGTTGATTTCTTATGACTTTACATAATTGTTTGGTTTTAATCGATAATAGAGACAAGAAGGAATACCTCCCCGCATGTTCAAATCGGTAGTTGCTGCAGGCCATGCAGAATTCTCTTCTATGAGACAGCAGGTGAAAGCCATGTCTTTTGAAATGTTCAGAAATTTGTAGATTATTTTGATTGATCCCCTACACATGTATTAATAAATTCATTGAGATTTCACACTAACTAGCACCATTCTGTTTTGTAGGATGCTCTTGACTTTTTCCTTCACTTGCTAGACAAAGTTGAGCGTGGCAGTAACACGAGACCAGATTTAGATCCCACAAGGAGTTTCAAGTTTGGAGTAGAAGAAAAGATCCTTTGCTCATCTGGAAAGGTCTCATATAACAAGAGGGAAGACTGTATTCTTTCTTTGAACATTCCACTGCAGGAGGCAACTAATAAAGGTATATCTTGTTCTTCCTTCTGTTCCGCTTCCTTTTATCATTTAGCCTGTTTCTTAATTATCTGGTGTTTTGTTCTGCTAAACCTTTTGGTGATCAAGATGAATTAGAAGCCTTTAACAACCAGAAAGCTGGCGAAGGACTGGAAGAAAATAATATGTGAGTTAGATGACTCAATTTTAATATGTTCCACTGTTTCGCTGCAATATCTAAGACATTTTTTTCTGAGCAGGTCAATTGATGAAATTGTACGCCCACGAGTTCCTTTAGAAGCCTGTCTAGCAACGTTTGCATCACCGGAGCAGATTCATGATTACTATAGCACTGCCCTGAAGGGGAAGACAACAGCTATCAAGTATGATGTTCCTTTCCTAAGTGAATCCTAGCATAACTGAGACTAGAATGAAAGTATACTAATGTCTTTGAGAGGTTGAACATTTATGCAGGACAACTGGTTTGACATCTTTCCCAGATTATTTGGTTTTGCACATGAGGAAGTTTGTTATGGAGGCAGGCTGGGTGCCAAAGAAACTTGGTCTCTTGCTGAAACACCATCCTTATAATGTTTCCTTACGTGCATTGTATATAAAATGCTTATTATCTTTTTTCTTGATTTGCTGAGACAGATGTGTACATTGATGTTCCGGATGTAATTGATATCAGCCACATGCGCAGCAAAGGACTTCAACCTGGAGAAGAACTGTTACCAGATGGCGGTATGTCACTAATTTTGTAAAAGAATGGTGTTTCATGTAAACCGCTTGAATAATGGTTGACTGAATCTGTGGATACAGTTCCAGAAGAAGTGGTGGAATCAGCACAGCCTGTGGCAAATGAGGAGATAGTTGCACAACTCGTCTCAATGGGGTTCAACCAGCTTCATTGCCAGAAAGCCGCCATAAATACGTCTAATGCTGGGGTTGAAGAGGCGATGACCTGGTTACTTTCTCACATGGATGATCCAGGTAATTGAATATATATTTACACAAGTCTGCAGCTGAGGCTTTTATTTGACAGTTTCTAACATGATGTATTGTGTTTCATAGATATCGACGCACCAATCTCTAATCAGACATCTGACGTTGATCAATCAAGCGTTGATACCTTAATCTCCTTTGGATTTGCTGAGCAGGTTGCTCGAAAGGCACTCAAAGCCTCGGTAAAGTCTTCGTGTAACGCTTTTGAGCAAACGAATTGTTGTTTGGTGAGTATCTTTTTGTCTCGTTACTGACATTCTTTATATTCAGGGAGGAGATATTGAGAAAGCAACAGATTGGATATTCAACAACCCTAATGCATCTGTTTCAGACATGGACGTTTCCTCCAGCAATTCAGTCCAAACTCCAGCTCAAAGTGCATTATTACCAGACGGAGGAGGGAGTTAGTTTCTAGAAAACTCTTTATTACCTTCTGATCTTCCAAAACATAAACAGATTCTAACTCTAAAAGCTTCCAAAAAATGCAGGATACAAGCTGTTTGGGATAGTAAGCCACATGGGAACATCAACACACTGTGGTCACTATGTGGCACACATATTGAAAGAAGGTCGTTGGGTTATCTTCAATGACAGCAAAGTAGGTATCTCGACAGATCCACCTAAAGACATGGGTTATCTCTACTTCTTTCAACGTCTCGACAATTGATTAGAGAGACCAAGAGAGTGTTGAAATCTTATGGTTGGAAAAGAAAAGAAAAAATGGAGACAGAAACTAGTCCTTTCTATAGAACTTTTAGGGGTTTAAGATTTGGATTGGGTGATGACTTGTTTGTTTTCCCAATTGTACTTGTGGGTTATTACAAAATTTGGTTCAGTGTGATGATTGTAGCACCAAGAGACAGCCTCTTTCTTTTGATATCGGCTTTCTTTTGGCTTCAAAGATTTGAAAAGATGTTCATAAGATTGCTCTTAGAGCATCTCCAAAAGATTTTCTATAACTTCAAATATAGAGTTTTTTCCTCTCTAAGAGCATCTCCAAAACAAACTCTACAACTTCAAATATAGAGTTTTTTTTCTCTCCAAAAAGAAAATTCAAAACTTCAAATTTGAAGTTTTTAAGAGTGAAACTTTATATTTGAAGTTTCAATACTCAAAACTCTAAATTTGAAGTTTCATCTTTTTTATTGCATTTTGGTCCTTACAATTACAAATAAAAATTAGAATTCATAAATACTTTTTGTTTATTGTTATCCATAAAACAATTTTAAATCTTATAAATATTTCAAATTAACTTTACCATTTATAAATTTAAGTTTTAGATGTAAAACTAAATAAATATTTATAATAAAATTTAATAGTTGCTTGTAGTTTAGTATTTTAAAATAAAAATTAGAAAACAAATATGTGGTATTATGTTTGTAATAATCATGTATTTGAATTTATAATTTTATATTTTAGTGTAAGATTTTATTAATTAATATTTTTGTATAATTTATATATATGTGTGTTATTTATCAATATTTTATGAATTTATATTAACTATGACAAATATAAGGATCAAAATGTAAAATATAAATAATTTTGAAGTTTTTCTTTTGGAGAAGAACATCTTGAAACTTCAAATTTAGAGTTTTGGAAACTTTAAAATAGAGTTTTTTTGGAGATGCTCTAAAAACAAACTTCAAAACTTCAAATTTGAAGTTTCATCTTTTTATTTGCAATTTGGTCCTTATATTTACATATCTTATTTAAGATTCTTAAATATTTTATTATTTATCATTTTAATCTTTATAAAAAATTATATCTCACAAATTTTCAAATTTATTTCTACAAATTAAGCTTTATACATAAGATTAAATAAAAAAAATTAAAATAAAATTTATATTATTTTAAAAGTAAAAGTAGACAACAAGAATATTACAAAACAAACTTAATTAAAATTATTTTTTAAAAAAGTACATGAAAACATAATTATTATAGAAATTTAAATATTACAACAACATTAATAATCTGGTAAATCTCCTCTGGAAGCTCTAAAATCTTCAAATCCAAACAAGTTTTTTGTAACCGAAGATGGTTGTTCTTGACGTCTTTTACGTATGATTTTTTTTTGTCCAGAACGAATGTACTCACGAGTATTAATATCACCGATAGAAGCTAAGTTTTTTAGCAATATTTTATTTTTCTCTTTTACTTCTTTTAAAGCTAACTTTCTTGCTTTATTTTCATTCGTAATCCAATCATCTCATGATTTTACCCCTGCTTGTTGCACTTTCTTTTAAAAAATGAAGGATTTGTTCATTGGATGATATCAAAGTATCATCCACCATATTATTACCTTCGGTAGTCTTTCTTTTGAGTTTTGCTTTCTTCGATCCAATAGGACGGGAACTTCATCCGTCTTCATCACTACTTAAATTGATTGAAAATAAAGGCATTTTCGGAGATTGTGATGTCAGAGAGCCGAAAGTATTGCTCTCAGTGTTAAGAGTATCTGGGATAGATATATTGACATTACTTGTAAACTTTGGAACATCCTTCATCCTTACCCACACATGATCAAACTTAAAACCTTTTTTCAGTTTTGGATCTTGTAGCAAAATTTTCTTAACCTTCTCCATCTACAAAGTAATAAAACATAAAAATTGGTTAATTACAAAATAAATATCACATATATATAGAGTAAAACAATAGGAGAGTCTACTGCTATTGAATGCATGAAAAGGTTTTGCCGAGCAATTGTGGAAGTGTTTTCGGAGTGGTATCTCAGGTCACCAACATCAGAAGACGTTGCGAGGCTTCTCAGTATTGGCCAACAACGTGGATTCCCTGGAATGCTGGATAGTCTGGATTGTATGCATTGGAAGTGGAAAATTGTCCAACTGCATGGGTGAGACAATTTGCAGGCAGTAGCGGATCACCCACTATCATTCTTGAAGCAGTTGCAGATTACGACTAATGGATATGGCATGCCTATTTTGGTATGCCCGGTAGCAACAATGACATTAACGTCTTGAAGTCATCCAATTTATTTTCAAAGCTTGCTCAAGGTATCGCTCCTCCAGCTAATTACGTTATTCAGGGAAACACATATAACATGGATTATTATTTAGCTGATAGAATTTATCCAAAATGGTCAACTCTTGTTCAAACAATAAGCAATCCCCAAGGTCCAAAGAAAAAATTGTTTGCAGCAAAACAAGAAGCATGTCGCAAAAATGTTGAACGTGCATTTGGAGTCTTGCAGTCCAAGTTTACTATCATAGCATGATCATCTTGTTATTGGAAGAAAGAGGTACTGCATGATATAATGACGGCATGCATTATAATGCATAACATGATAATTGAGGATGAACGTGATATTAATGCGCCGATAAAAGATACAAAAGATCACTGGAAGAAGCAACTGTTGATATGGCGGAAAATGAAGATATTCGTTTTCAACAATTTTAGCTCGTAATCTACAGATTAAAAATAAAGAGAGTATTTCGTACTTCGAAATGCATTAGTTGATCACATATGGGAGCATTACAGAAATAATTTTATGGAATAATGTGGTATTTTGTTTATATTTTAATATTTAATTATATATTTCTATTTCTAGTTTTATATTTTCATGTAAACTTTTATCAATTAATTTTTTTTGTAATATTTTTATATATGTGTTTGCTATATATCAAAGTTTTATGGATTTTCATTAATTGTGAAAAATATAAGGACCATAATGTAATATACAAATAATTTTGAAGTTAGTTTTGAAGTTTTTCTTTTGGAGAAGAACAATTTGAAACTTCAAATATAGAGTTTGTGAAATTTCAAAATAGAGTATTTTTTTTGAAGATGCTCTTAATTTGAAGATTTGAGTAAGATATGACTATCTCTTTTTTTTTTCTTCGAAAAAGAAAAAAATGAGAAAAGATATCACTGTATAAAAAAAGATATCTTGCATCTATATTATTAAAACTGAAGTACATTTAAGAGTTGTTTGGAAACAAGGATATCATTTAATAAAAATAATATATTGTTGTTTGATAACATGGATTGCAGTATATTAAAAACAAAATGAGCTTAGTTATTAAGAAAAATTGAAAGTCTTATAATAAACTATCTATTTGGGTCAGCTTTACAATATATGCAAATAGACCAATCTAATTACCTAAAAAGACTTTTGTTTAAAATATTCATAATACAAAATTTAAACTTTGTATACATATTTCAAATCAAAAGAATAATTTTAAACTAATTTATAGCAAATTTGATTCTAATATATATATATATATATATATATATATATTCAAAAATTCATTTTTACTAAAATATTTTCCAATAGCGATTATAAAAAAAGTTTTCAATATATCTATATAAGAAAAATATAATACAAAGCCAAATTTCAGACACCAGTTTATATAGTGGTTATATATGATTATTTATATTAAGGTTGTGAATTTGACTCTTTACACATAGGCTCCGTCCTGTTTGAGTCACTGCAGGGCGGGTAAAGATCAACATATTTTTAAAAATATGTGAGGCGAGTGTGGGTTTAGTATTTTTTTTATGCGGAACGGGTGTGGATCAGTCAAATTTAAACTGTGGGTACCCGCCAAATATTTTTTTTAAAAGACAATTTTTAAATGCTTTTATTTTTAAAATAATTAACAATTACAATTAGAAAAAAATAATTAAAATATATTATTTTAGTTTTTTAAAAAATAAAAAAAATTAATTAATTTTAATATTATCCGTGGATCTCTTAGGTAATCTATAAATTTAAACAAAGTGGGTGCAAGTATAATTTTTCTACTTGCAGGTCAAGTGGATCAAAGTTTTGAATAAAAAAAATGATTTAACACACAGCAGGGTAGGTCGATCCGCAAATTCATCACTAATCTATATGATGGTACATATAAAATACTATTAATTATATGATTACTTATATGATAATATGTATAAAATATGATTTAATTATATGATGACATATATATGATATATAATAATGATATAAAAAATAACAATATACTTTTAAAAAACTACACCCGTGCGGACGTACTGGTCAAAATCTAGTTTTGATTACAAAGGTTTCTGCATCTGTATTTATATTAGGGAAAATTTGGTGTATATACAAAACACAAAGGGAAATGAAAAACATACCGGTGATTTTGACATAATTGAGTTAATAACAGTTAGTCCAGTTTTCGCCTTTTTTGAGTACAAATTTCCAGTTACCAAGAGTGAAGTCAGATGACGTCTGTATTTCACATGGTATAGTCATTGTCTCTGTGTTTCAGATGGTATATACATGTATAGCTAGCTGCATAATATTTACTAGAATATATTTTACATAAACCATGTTCATAGTTCTAATAACCGCATATGGTTTCACGGTATTCAGTAAAAACATGTGGTAATATCTTTTGTGTTTCAAGTAATCGGTGGCAGAAAGAAAAGGACGAGATGACATCAACACTTATGTACATGGCCAGGATTAAAGCAACATTGTTCACTATTTCAGGTCCCTTTTGTTTTAACTACATAGACAGCTTAAATGTGCTATTCCGTATAACCAAAATAACATAAGATACCTATTCTGTCTCAATTTTTAAATTTATATTTCACGGCACTTTTGGTTTTACTGCATAAGATACTAATTATGTCTCAATTATGTATACATTTATACTATATGTATAGAATATAAAAGAATACACAAATTTAAACATTAAACCCTATTTCTAATTTCACTCTGACTTTTCAAATAAATCTTAAAACTCTAATTACTAAACCCTAATCCTAATTACTAAACCCTAATCCTAATTACTAAACCCCATTTCAAATATAATGTAACTACATTTAAAAATAGTAAACTATACTTTATAGACTATATGTATATATTTATATACTATATGTATATAATAGAATAGAATACAAAAATCTTAAAACTAAACTGTATTTCTCATTCAACCCTCACCTAAAACTCTAATCACTAAGCCCTAACCTCTAGTCACTAAAAACCAGTTTCAAATATAATGTAACTAAATCTGAAAATAGTAAAACTATACTATATAGCTAGGAAAATAGAATAAATTTGAAAATTGAAAAGGGTTATAAACATAAAAATGCAGAGAAGATAGTACGAAAGTGACAATAATTCTGGACTTGCATAATTGGTGTTCTATTTCAGTGGAAGGTATAAAACATAAGAAAATCAATTTCTAAAAAAAAAGTTAGAAAAGCGAAGAACCTCGATGGTGGCATGTCAGTTAACATCGGTGATGATTGATTATATAAGTGGAAGTAATTGAAGTAGAATTGTGATTTATGTTTTCGTCGTTGATATCAGAGATCTGTAAGAAGAGGAAGAAGAAAAATGAGAGAAAATAAAATAAAATAAAATAAAATAAAGAATAAAATAGAAAGAAGTCACCAGTCGATTGCATGAGTATTTTGGTATATAAGATAGAAAATATGTTGAATATTGTGGTCAACTTTTTTTGGTTAGAGAGCTAATTATAATTTGTTGATGTATATTGCGTGCAAATTTCTTTTACATTATGCTGATATTCAGTTTTTCACATTTCATATATTATATTGATGTCAATTGAGCTGTCCAAAATGGACAATCCATTTTCTGACATTATTAGTTAAAGTCCAAGTTGCACCAAATTAGACTATTGCCATTGGGCTGTCCGCATATCTCAAATAAAATTCATACTTTTAAAATTTTAATTTCATACTAAATTCATATGTTTTACACAGCCAATAGCATAGTTAAATTTCATACATTATGGTCATACACAATCTTAGCTTTATGATTCCATTTAACATCAATGTAGTGAACAGTAAGAAATAAATAACATTACATGGTTATTGCGCTTCACATATCAGTTATTAAATAAATCCTACTCGAAACCTAACTTAAAGCTTATCTACGCTAAATACATCTGAAACTGATGTGTCCAACTCCAGAACCCTATGCTAGAGTTGGCATATAGAAAAGCATTCTTAATCCTTTTATATTCAACTAAAAAATATGGGAGATCATCAGTTAGAAAAAAAAATAAAAAATGGAAGATCATGCTCCACAAGCGCCATCAATTATTTCTCAAAATACCATCAGATCGATCTTCCTAGCACTACTAGAAGTTCCACTTCTATGCAAATCAAGGAAGTAATGGTGTTTACAATAATTGCATGTGATGTTATCTTACCATCATGCATCTTATCTCATAGTATGGTGAAGTGTTTCCAACACTTAGAAATTAGAATGACTATTTTTATGTTTACCTTTCCCTATCTCGACTGTACTCATGAGAGACTCGTCCACATGATTGTTTTCGTTCATTGTCGGTTCTGATTCATCATTCCCACTCTGATAGTCATCATTATTCAAGGTCATTATACTCGTATCCATCAGAGACACTTAACACAAACTTTCATCAGTATTCAATCAAACATATACAATAGAAAACAATGTTATTATTTTCAGAAACTATCATTAGATTACAACAATAAACAGTGAACCAATAGATTACAAGTAACAACAGTGAACCATGTTAACAAAAACAAGTTACAACAACATACCATCAAACATATTACAACAACCATTTGATATCCCTAAGCATACATTAGATATAATTTCTTGGCATACTTACGTACATAGACACCGTCCTCATAAATTAATGATGATGCATTTCAAATGAAAAAAAAAATCAAATTATCTGTATGTTTCAGAGTTTTATTTCAGTGTTTCAAAATTTAATATTGAAACAACCGATCCTGAGATTTGAATTGAATGATTCAAAACTCAAATTTAAATCCAATCCAATCTGAATGGATTTATAGTACGGTCATCTGAATATTGTATATTATCCACATTTAACACAAACTCGACCAATTTTCTTAAAGTATCTAAAAATTTGAAAAATTTGAAAGATCCTAAAACTCTAAATTCAAATATAAACAAGTATTCAAAAATCTGAATTATTATCTGATATAATTTTATTATATTTATATAAATTTCTTATTAAAATAATCTTCTGAAAATATGTTCTCTTATCACGTTGAACCTGCTATATCATATCTTACTTTTCATATTATATAAACATATAAGTAATTTATTAGTTTTTTAATTTTTTAATAAATAATGTTGAATATACTAAGAACCTTAATACTCCTTATGTTTCAATATAATCTATGTTTTAGAAAAAAATGTTTCTAAAAAATACGCATGATTGATGTCATACTACCTTGGCATTGAAGTAAAGAAAGAAGAGAAGGGAATCTTCATTACTCAAGAAGCTTATGCTAAAGAGATGCTTTCATGTTTTTAATGCATTATTTAATGTTAGGGAATTATAAATTACAAAAAATAATACATTGATAATTAAAAATTCATATATTTTCTCAATATGTGTAAAAATGATAAAACATAGATCTTATTAAAATAGAAGGAGTAACTTTTATCAATTTCTGCATGAAGTTTGTTAGCTATATGGCAGAAAATGCCAGGTTGCATCCCATTTTAATTTTTTACACTGGATATTATTTTTCCCATTTATAATAAATTGTTTAAAAAATATTTGCTATTTCATGATATTTTGATATTTTATAATATTTTAGTTTTATCGGAAATTAGTAAATCAATTATATTTACTACACCAACTATAATTAAATATTTCGAATAAAAATATCCGGATAAATCAGAACGCGCGTAAAGTTAGAAAACCAGAAAGATTTAAATGATCCGACTCGAATCCGAACGGTTATAATACAAGGTCACCCCTAGAAATAATATCTGAATTCCCAAATCCCAATTAGTATCTACACTTTGTAGGGATCAAAAGCTAATAAAAACACACACGTCACTCTAAATCAGAGAATCAGCAAACAAGAATTGATTCTCCTTCCTTTCATATCAACCACGTGTTCTTCAGCATCTCAATTTCGCGGAAAATAAAAAGAGAAAAACAGAAAAATAGATTCTCTGGCAGTTGAGATGAATTTGTTTCCGTTTCTGGACGCTCTCTCACTGCTTCGTTCCATATTAATCTCTCACCGTTATCTCGTCTTTAAGAGGTAAGCGACGGTGTTTCTGATTCTGAATCCTTTATGATTCTAGCGTTACAGCAAAGCAATTGATCACGAAAACTGAAACAACGGTTTTAGCGTTACAGAGGTTTTAACAATTGTGGACGATTTGTTGCTAAGTTATTAAAATTTAGAATCTCAATTGTGATTTTCATTTTCAGAAAGGGAAAGTTTTGATGAAGGAGGGGTCACGGCTAGAGAAGATTGTGAGTTTGAGATTTGTTGCTGAAGCAAAACACACCTCACAAGGTTAGTTTGGTTTCTTGATCTGGGTTGATTTGACATAAGGCAAGTATAACATCATCATCATACACATTGATGAGTGTGTACACTGGGACACCCTCAACAATACACATACATGTTTCTAATATATCTGTTTCTGAAACCTTTTTTTTTTTTTAATGAGCTAATCGATGTATATGACGATGCAGAGCCTTAGCAAACCAAAAAATGGTGGAGACGCGTGCTCAGCATCGCAGGCGAACATGGGATGGGGTAGAATCTAATCAGGATGTCTTTCGTGACATCTTATCTCGACTCTCAGTCAGGTCTATCTGTTCAATGAAAAAGGTTAACAAATACTGGCATCGCTCAGTTAGTGGCAAATATTTTGCTACCAAACAGTTTGCTCAATCGAGAAAGAAGCCCTCATACATAGCATGTCCTAGCGTAAACAAGGCTCTGAAGCTGTATTTGTTGAAGCCGGGGAAGTTCAGCTTTCGACACCACGCTACTGTCGATCCTTCAGGAAAAATCGCTGATCAATGCATGCACATGATATCATCGTTCAATGGATTGGTATGCTGCATCAACCAAGTTTCTGATGAAGATGAAGACGATTATCAAAACCATCAGATATGGATCTGTAACCCTTCTACTGAAGAGACTCTGCTTCTTCCCCAAGGCAGACCCTCGTTTTTGGCAGAACCAAGTATTGGAGTAGCATATGGTCCGGATATTAGTGAGTACAAGATTTTCCGCATATTCTCTGTTGGAGAGAAAAATGATGGAGAAGAGGATTTGCTCTTAGAATGTGAGGTGTATTCTTCTAGCTCTGGTGCGTGGAGGAGCATTGGCACTGTGCTTCATCTTCCAATGTATGTTGGTTTAAGTCCACACAGATCCGATCATGTCTTTGCAGGAGGGAAGATCTACTGGCTGGTTTCTTTGGAAGATCCTGGTATAATCCTCTCTGTGGACATGGAAGAGAGGTTCGGAGTTATAGAGCTGCCTCACTATCCGACATATCTGCGTGAAGAAGACAGGATAACAGTTGCCACACATCTGATAAACCTGGGAGGATCTTTGTCACTTGTAGTTCTACATGCGGATTACTTTGACGTATGGGTGTGGAAAGATGCTAGTTGGGTACTTGAAACAGAATATGATTTTCCATTTGAGGGAGATGAAATTGTGTTATCCATAACCTCATCATCAGAGAATGAGATCCTGTGGGTGACTGAGTCGCACTTGTGGACTTATCATTTGGATACTAGGAAGTGGAATAAAAGGGGCAGGCCTCCTACTCGATTTAAGAATCCTGCTGTGTTCCCCTTCACCGAAAGCCTTCTTCCATGTAAGCTCCCTCTCTATGATTAGTATATGTTGTATTAATAATATGTTTCCTTCTTCGTTGGTGTCTAATATAATGTGATATGTTGTTTCTTGTGGCAGGCACTGGAGGAGTGAGGCTACACGGAAGGTGAAGACTGAAGAGGAGTATTTATCATCTCTGGCTTGTTGGTTGTGATGGACAAAGTCTTTGCTTTGATTTATCTTGCAGAGGCTTTTCTGTTTCTCATTTGGTTTAAGGTTTCTGGTTTGCATCTCAGGTCCTTATCTTTCGTTTCTGAACTTTGTGTTATTCAGTTTGTTTCGGTTTGTAAGCCTTTATCAACAGTAAAAAGCTTTGTTTTAAAATAAGAGTTCTTATTTTATATAACGAAAGGGAAATTGTTATTGATCATGTGTTCTCAACTTCTCATAGAGTCCACCGGGTATTTTCACAAATTATCATATAGTATCAGATGTTTCCTAATCTATGATTTCGGTCTATTTATTTAGAATATAAAATTTTAGATTGATTTCCCCATAAATATTGGTTTTATCAAACTCAATTTAAAATCATTAATTATTAATAGTAAACCAAACAACCTCAAATCTGACCAAACATAAAACAAATTAAAAATCTATACTCTATTAAAAGTTGGATATAAGCTCCATTGAACCTATCCACGTCAGATTATTTAATTGACCATTAGGAAGTTTTTATAATGCCATGTCAGCACAAACAAAATTATTGGTTTGGGTTTTTTGTTTTGTAAATCCATTTTCTGTAAGTTTGAGGCCCGTTAAGCCAATTATGTTGGTATTCTTTCGCCCTCGTGGCTCTGTCTCTTCACCGTTCCTTCGACGTTTGGTTTCTACAACCGAAGGTTACCAATCGATAACCCTCCATGTACTCCATCTCTTTGCAAGGAATCCATCATCATTTATAGATTCCTTTCGCTTTCCTCCCTCTGATTCTATTTATATATTTTCCTCCTCATAAATCTCTTCAATCCAACAATATATAATCTCATCAACAGCAAAACCACTGTCTCCAGCAATCTTAATTCCAAGCAACCGAACGGAAATGGAGGGGCCCAGCCGATCGACTTTAGAGCTTCTTCTTCCACTTTTCTCTGCAACAAACCGGTAGGTTCTCTTCTCTTCCCCTTCCTTTTTTCTTTTTATTTTGTTCTTTTACAGTTGTTCTCACCCCCAAAGATTATTTAGAACGATTGTTATTTTCAAGCTTTCGTCTGTCTGTTTGCTTTTTTTTATTGACTTTTGATGTCGTTCTTTCTCAAACCTGGATCGAAATCGGTTTTCTAGCTTTTATATTTTGAAGGGACTTATCATTCGGAATTCAACATAATCAGTGTTGCTATGAAACCGATTGTTCGAAAGTTGGCTCCTTTGGATGGGGTTTAAGGTCCTGGTGATAGCATCTGAATAGATCTCTATCAACTTTGTTTGTTTGGATAGGAAAAAACTCTCTTCTTTCTGTTATTGATGATATATGACGATGATGATGATCCTTCTGTTTCTGTCTTTTGTGTGTGTGTTTGTTAATATGAATTGTATTTTGCATCTGCTTCAAAGTGTGTCATGTTGTTAAGAACTCATGTGTCATCTGTTTTTGCCTAAAGTATTGCCTTTTACTTCGCCAGTGAATGAAGCTATTGTTTCAGAGCTGCACGGTGAATGTTCCAGTGAATGAGCATTGCGATTTTTGTTCCCATGTATATTTTATATTGATTCATTCAGTGAGCATTGCCTTTTTTGCGTAATTCAATCCATTTATAAACAAAAATGGGTGTTGTCCTCACGGTGAGTGGAATAGTACTTTTTCTCTTACATTCCAGCAACACTAAAGTTATTTGATCTCTAATCATGTAAAATCTAACATGTTTGTATAGGATGTTGTTGCTGCATTTGAGATTATGAAATGCACCAACGTAGAAGTACAAAATCAGGTATGTTTTCTAGAATTTGTAGCTCTCTTAGTGGCCGAACTAGATCTTCTTATGATATAGTCCTAACTTCTGCAGTTTCTTTTCGAGACACTGATGCTCTTATTTTTGGCTTTACGTCATATGTGGCTATTGCAGGGTTCAGCTCTCACAGTTTCTGTGGACAACACAACTGGCTGTCAGTTATACCTAAACAAAGACTCATTAGAAACAGCTCTAACAGTTCCAAGTCGAGTGAGATCAATGTAATGGTTCCTCGTGCTTCCCCTGATGGAGATTGGGTATGGCTTCTCTTCGACAATTGTTTTTTTTTTTTGGTAAAATCTTCGACGATTGATTTTCTCAACCAAACCGAAGTCGATCAATCGGTTTAAAAAATTTACAGCTTTAGTTAATTGGTTTTCGACGATTGTCTCTGTCCTTATTGGTTTCCTGATATTCTCCTATAGTCAATTTGTTTGATTCTAATTACCCTTCTTATGCTCTTTGAGTTACTGTTGATTTCTTATAACTGGATAGCTTTGATTTGCAGCACAGTCCGACCTCTATGCCAAAGATACAACTTCGGATGTTCAGAGTCTTGGATGATAAGGGATCCAACACTCAACACGGTCTGTTTAATGTATATAGGCTTCTCTTATATCATGTTTCGTGATGTCTTACAGTAGATCTTTTCTTTCCTCTGTAGATGTAAAAAGTTGGTTTGATGGCTCTTAAGTCTTACAATTATATGTTACATGACCTTTTCTGTAGAAGTCAATAGTTTTTGTTAAGCTATAGAAGATGTCTTTCTGCTCGTGTGTCTTGATCGTTACGTACTCCCGAAGTTTTTGTCCAGCCTTATTTAATTTTACATAAACAAATCTTTGTTTATGAAAATAGAAAAATATGAATGTTGTAAAGTGCAAATCTGATGTTATTATTTCCGTTTAATCATCTGAAACATACCATGTTTATGTATTCAAACAATTCACATATATAACTTAAGTTGAGTTTTCAATAATCAAATAAAAACGGTGCTAATGAATGACAAAAATTAAAAAGAAAATCATATTCATTTAAAAAAATTGTGAAACAATACACTTAAATAATTATAATTTTCCACCCGGAGTGCTGACACACCCTAAATAAAAAAGTTCAATAAGAACATTTATCATGCTTGATCATATTAAAAAATTAATTGTATAGCTCACATAGTGTTCGTATGTATCATTTGAAACATTTTAATACAATGTAATCACAATAATACAATTCAAAATACAGTAACTATTATGTACTATGCAAATGATAATAGTATATTTATGTTCTCTAAACGAAATATATGTTCACTAATCAAACCATAACGAGCTCATCATTAGGTTGATGGAAAAATGTTGAATGCAAATTTTCATGAAGTTAAAACATAAAATATAACATAATTAAATATAAACTCTAAACCGAAAATGAAAAATACTATCTATAATAAATTGCACAAAATAATAATAAGTATACTTTGATTATTTATTTATTTACGAAGCAAAAAGAACAAAGAGACACTGACCATCGGTTTATTTTAATAAAATAAGATGATACCAATGTTAAATTTCTTAAAAGATTTTGGTCACTATTAAATATACATAAAATTAACAATAGTTACATCAACTATAGAAAAAAATTCTTATATAAATTACTTCTTACGGCTGACTTTGACTGTCATGTAATAATATCAATAATAAAGAGTTTGTTTTCCTAAATTTTGGAATTTAAGTTTTATGTTTTACTATATTTAACATTCTACCTCTTTCTGTTTTTGCCTACATACTTTTTTAAACAATTTAAATTATAAATAAATAATATAATTTACATTTTTATAAGATATAATCCGCGCATAGCGCGGACAAAAGATCTAGTATTAATAAAATCCGATCAAACTAAATTAACATAACTTTAACCAATTAAACCATTAATAAAATCCAATGCAATGAATACATTGCAGATCCATAGACTACCATTTGTTGCCATACAATGGCGACCCTTGGAATGATGGAACAGAAAGTGGGAGACCAAAGAAGAAGGATTTGTTGAAACTTGAACTTGCTATATTTTTGGTTTTTGATTACATTATATATATACAAAACGACCCGAGACGACCCAGCCAGTGTTCGATTGACAATCTCTAGGTCACACTAGAATATGTCATGGAAGGAGCAGGATGAGTGGACAGGCCAGAATTGGTTCTGTAGAAGTATAGGCTCCAATGATAAGATGATGGGGACTTTTCAGTTTTCAGATATAGTTTTTGCAACGGATTCATCTCAACTGGTAAATGTAGTATCGCTACCTGAAGAATGACCAGCTTTTATTATACATATGGAAAAGTTTCAACGTATGAAAACTTTTTTTTCCTACTTTTGCGAGCAGACATATTTCAAGGACACAAAATTCAATAACAGAAAAATTAACTTACATGCAGTGTAAAGAGTTCTCCGTCACATATATTTTATGTTAATTCACCACCTCCGGTTTGACTTTCTTGACCGGTAGACACAATTTCTTAGTTTAGTTTTAGTTTATTGTTGTTAAAGAAAAAGACCCATCAATCATTTTCACCCTCGAGAATCCATTTAAGGGACAATAAAAGTAAATAATTCGTTCTGAAAATATCATCTTCTAGAATAAGTACCATGTATGTACCTCACAAATCAGTAGTCAGTAATCACTATACAACATCTAAGGTGTTCTTCTGAAAATATCATCTTCTAGACTAAGTACCATGTATGTACCTCACAAATCAGCAGTCACTATGCAACATCTAAAGTACCATGCATGTACCTCACTAATCAGTAGTCACTATGCAACATCTAAGGTGTTAAAATTTTCTATAAACTCTAGATGATTCATTAAGATTTTAAATATTATCCCTAAGTCCTTGATAACTGATCACATACGCTAGTTTCTAAAAGTTGTGGATTCGAATGGGTTAAGACATTGTAAAGTGTCCATATTAAATTACAATGCAACACAACTCTATAACCATATGAAAAGGACACTAAGCCTAATCTGAAACATAAGCTAATTGGTGTCCAAGTTCTTAAGATCGATCATTCAAGATCTATCGAAAATGTAAGTGTCATCAGTGGTTTTTCAACGCTTGCTTAAAAAATTGTTCCAGTCGTGAGGAAATAGAATTGCAACTGTATAGGAACTAATTAGGAAGACTTACGTTTTAGTTAATAAAATACCATGAAAACTGATAAAAATGCATAAACTAGTGTGCCAATTACAACTTACGTTATTGGTGCTTTCCATGTGCCTGTCCCCAAAGAACCTTGTTGGATTTGAACCAAAATTGGAGCATACCTGACAGGATTTGAGCTTTTAGATCCTACATCTTGATGGTCCACTTTTAAGTATTTATCCTCTCCCACAATGTGTAAGCAGTTACTAGATTTCTCATATCTAGTGGGACACACTAAAACTTTATTCTCCCGATCCGCCAAGAAACTCATCCCAATCAAAAGCGTCATGAACTGGTGGCGATTTGTTCGTTTCACTGTTAGGAGTTTACTCCATGACATGTCTCCGGTACCTTTAATCTTAGTTGCCATCCATACATCAATATCAAGTACCTTTTGACAAGAAGTTATCAAACAGAGTTTTTGCTCTTTTCTAGTCACTGATAAAGCAAAAACATAGTAAGAAAGAGGATCAACCGGAAGAGACACAGGTCCAAACCTCTCTGTTGAAAAATCAAAACATTGTAAGGCATTCTTATGCATATAAGTAAGCCAGTAAGTATTTCCATCCACAGACGTGCCATATGGCCAGAGCCCTTTGTAAGAAAGTGAAGCTTTGAGAATGAAGAACAAGAGAGAGATGAGAGAAAAGAGTAAAGAAGGAGAAACTTTTTCCCTTCGATCTGAAAAATAACGTTACAATAAGTTATAAGGAGAGAGAACAATCTTATTCTAGTAACCAAACACACTTGGCTTACTAGAGAAGTTAGAATAACTAGTTTATTTATTTATTTAACTCAATACTCCCCCTCAAGCTTTGCCATGCCTTATGGTAAAGCTTGGAACCATGAAAACATCCCTCGTTAAAACCTTTTGTATAGAAAACCCAATGGGACAAAACCACACAAAGGAAAAAGAGTAGATGCTTCATGGCTTAAGGAGATCATGATCTATCAAGGTCTATGAGTCCTAATCTCGAATGAATGAACTCACAGACTTTACTACTTGCTCCTTTGGTAAAGATATCAGCCAACTGGTCTTCACTTCTAGTGTAGCAAGGTAGGATAATCTTCTGCTCCACGGCTTGTCTCACTTTGTGGCAATCCACTTCAATATGCTTTGTCCTTTCATGAAACATTGAGTTTGAAGCAATATGAATGGCTGCCTGGTTATCACAATGCATGGTAATTGGTGTTGATGTTTCTATGCCCAAGTCTCTTAGCAAGTTTCTGATCCAAATGAGCTCACTAGTCAGTTTCCTCATTGCTCTATACTCTGCCTCAGCACTTGAACATGATACCACCTTTTGCTTCTTGCTTTTCCATGTAACTAAATTGCCTCCAATGAAGGTGCAATAACCTGTAGTAGACCTCCTATCCACTCTATCACCAGCCCAATCTGCATCACAATATCTCACAATCTCTGTGCTCTTGTTGCATCCCATCCAAACACCTTGTCCCGGGGCCTCCCTTAGGTATCTCATAATCCTTTCCACCATATTCCAATGATGAACTTTAGGTGCTTGCATATGCTGGCTGACTTGGTTCACAGCAAAACAGATGTCTGGTCTTGTAATGGTAAGGTAAAGCAGCTTCCCAACCATCCTCCTATAGAGTTTGAAGTCTCCAAACGGTTTATCTTCAAACTCCCCCTCACGCAAGACTTTGTAACCTTCTTCTAGTGGTGTTTTAGCTACTCTTGCTCCAAGTTTTCCTGCCTCATTTAAAAGATCAAGTGTGTACTTTCTTTGAGATAAGAAAAACCCCTCTTTAGAGCGGCATATTTCTATCCCTAGAAAGTACTTTAGCTCACCCAAATCTTTAATATCAAAGGTGGACTTAAGAAAAGCTTTAGTAGAGATGATACCTTCCTTGTCGCTTCCTGTGATGATAATATCATCCACATAAATCAGTATCACGATAATTCCTTGCTTGCTTGTGAGGGTGAAAAGGGTATGATCA